AGGCCCAAGTCTTTGCACCTTTGCCTCCTCTGCTAGTGGTGTTTCCGCATTGTCCCTGCCGATCTTAGGCAGGAGGTGCTGGAGGAGGAAGTCCTGTTTGTGACTGAGCTGGGCCATTCCCACTCAGCTGGGCAGGCTTCTCCTGTGCAGACTGCCCCGCCCAGGCCCACCCCACCCCATGTACACTCCTCTTCCTCCCTGGGCTCCTTGTCCTCCTGTGCCTATACTGTGCTGATTCCTTCTAGCTGTGTGTGATGACTTTTTGCTTATGGTTGTTTCTTTCTAGATGGTATAGTTTTTTTGTTTAGTTATCTCATATGTAGACACTGATAGTACATTTAAGTACACACTTTTGTACTAGCTGACCGGTCTTTTCACTTCTCTTCACAGCTGCATTTTATAGCAAAATTCTTAAAACAGTTTTTGTCATGGTCTGGGCCAAGCATAAGTAATGATATGATATAAATTAATTGACTATGATGTTGTATGGACTAATTTCTCTGATGAAGTTAGGAAGTATTCAAATTTTAATTTGCTTTTAGAGTAAGTGAAGGTATTCAAGGATACTATAAATGTGTAAGAGAGGCCATACTTTAGCAACTTCTTTTTGGCAGTTACTTGTATTTAACAAAATACAAGTATTTTGTATTTAACTGTATTTAACAAAATTATTGGCACAGTCATGTGCTTTGAGATAATCTGCTAATTCAACACAAGTCAATTAAAAATTCACTCTTTCTGCAGTGGTAGGCTAGGGTCATTCAGCCCCCACCCCATGTTTTCATATTACTTTCTAGTGCATGTTTTTAACATTCCATAAAGTTCATAACACCATAAATCAAGGGAGTTATTATTCCAGCCTACTACCTTGATATGGAAGCTGGATTGAAGCTACAATTCCTGTTATCACTCAGTTGGCCTTTTGCATGTAGCTTTCTTTTCATATAAAGCTACAGTGTTTCAGTACTTCAGATTTCAAGTATTTGGTTAAGCAGTTTTCACTCTAGGATTTTTTTTTTTTTTTTTTTTGAGACAAGTTTGCACTATGCAGTTTACTTAGGCTGGCCCTGAACTCACGTTGTAGCCCAGGATGGCCTTGAACTTGCAGTGATCTTCCTACCTCAGCTGGGATTACAAGCATGCACCACCATGTTCTATCAAATACTGAGATAGGGTGTTAAATCTTCAACTGAAAACAAATTAAATTCGCATCTTTTGGGGTCATTTTCTGTTGACTTTTTTTCTTGATGACTTACATTTCCTTTTTTATTTATTTTTGGGTTTTTTGAGACTGAGTTTCACTGCAGTGTAGGCTATCTTGAACTCACTTTATAGCCCAGGCTGGCTTCAAACTTGTAGCAGTCTTCCTGCCTCGGTCTCCTGAGTCCTGGGATTATAGGAATGCGCCACCATGCCCAGCACATTTCCTTTTTGCCTCTTGTAATTTTAAAGTGATCTAGTGGACCTTGTGGATATATGACAGAAACTCTTAATTTTGTTATTTTCTTTGAAGAGTTGATTTTTATTTCAGTGAGCCCTTCAGTTACGTGCTGGCTACCCTTAATTTGTGCAGGCTTCATTTTACACATTGTAGAAGTAGCTGTATGGAAAGAGCAAGGGATTACTCAAGGACTTTTAATTTCCAAACTGTGCTTACTTGTGGCTGCTCAGAGTTCACTCTTGGCTGAGTTAGGCAGTGCTCTGCGCATAGTTCTTTCTTCCAAGGTGCATCAGCTGGATGCCCAGGAAAGTAGTAGTGTGTGTTCGGCTTTGCTGACTGGCTATTAAATGTCCTTCCCGTGCTGTTTGACTTCAGTGTTTCTGTTGTGCTCTCAGCTCCATCCATAGCAGTTGCTCCCTAGTAAACTGGGCGCCTACTCTACAGAGCCCAGCCTTTAGCCGAGTAGTTTCATGTAGCTTCTGGGAGCTCCCCGTTCTGTTCCTCCTTGCCTTCCATCTCCCAGAGCCACTGTGCTCTCCTGAGGGGTCACTGGCTATATACTAGTGAGGATTTTGATTTCAGGCAGAGCTTCTGGCAGTTGTTGAGTTTCTCTTTCCCTGAGATTATGGTCATTTTAAAATTTATTGTTTATGTATTTATTTTTATTTATTTTTTCAGTTGTGGGGGTTGAAACCAGGGCCTCATTCATGCTAATCAAGCACTTTACCACTGACCTATATCTGGTGTGGGTGCATGTGTGTGTGCGCGTGCGTGCGTGTTGCTGGGGAGTAAGCAGAGCCTGGCATGTGCTAGGCAAGAGCTCTTACCAGTGAGCCAAGAGTTCCTGCCTTGGGTTAGAGCCTTCGGTCACTCTTTTACAAATCCCGGAAGCGGTTGCTTCTTGTGGTTTGGTGTTGGTTCACAATGGAAGAGCTTGCTGATGCTGAGTCCTCCCTCGGAGTCACAGTACATGGTAATGAATGATAAATTCTTGTATTTGCTGCACCCTGCTAGGATGTATCTATGTTCACTGGTGTTGGTTTACTCAAGTCTACTCAAATATAAAAATTCTTATCTGGGCTTTGTTATAGGAAAAAAACTTTCTCTCACAACATTTTATGATTTTCCAGAATTCTACTATATTTTGTACAGCATTTGATCTGTAAGTATGATTGTTCTTTCCTGTGTCCTCAGGGGAAGATAGTACTCCTTTGGTTTACTTTATTTTTGTCAATATACGTATGGGTTCTAGATGCTTAGTATTTGACAAGAGGTAACTAAAGATATTACTTGTTGAATCTTTCTTAAAACTGGAAATTTATTGTCTGGCTAGCCATCAAGTTTAAAAAATATTTTTCTAGGTATTATTAATTCCAAATTCAAATATGTAATGAGTGTGTTTTATAGCTAATGCTGACGTTGAACTTGGCACTGTGGATCTAGTAGAGAACAAAGCAAGCGTGAATGATCCCTACTCTTGTTGAGTGTACATTCTAACATGGAAGACAGGCAATAAATACAAAGAAACAACATTTAAAATTTGCAAATTGTGGTATATGCTAGGAGAAATAACCAGAGAACTGAGGTAGAGCTCAGTGACATGCTGTTGGGTAGTCAGAGAAAGCCTCTTTGAGGTATTTCCTATTTCAGCTGAGTGGCTAAGGAGCCGAGTATCCTTGGGGAGAGGAGAGTTTGGGCAGTGGTGGGTTTCTGAGGCTTTCCTCATTATTGTAAGGATTCCGAGGAAAGGCTTGGTATAGTAGACACACTGAAAGGAGATGTGTGTGCCTAAAACATGCAAAGAGACAAAAATGGCAAAAGTCCAACTGGTAAGGTAAACATAGGCTAGATCATTTGGGACCCTGCAGACTGTGGCCAGCAGCTCAATGCTCTTAGGTTCTGTCTTCCAACCCTAAGTAAGATGACCACAGACTGGTCAGAACTCCTCAGTGAAAGAGCATAAACTGGACGGAATGTCAGATTGACAGATGTCATCTGCCTTGGTTTTCTGAAATTGTCCTAAGTTTGAGCTTACATATGTAGAAATAGCATGGATTCTTCTGCAGACTACCTTTTAAACTGCATTCTGTATAGTCGTCCTGCAAGTTTACTTCCCTATATCTCATATTTCCCATTTGTAATGGGGAAATAATCTCATTGGAACTGTTACAAAGATGAAGATATTGCGTGCATCAAAATATGTAGCCCTGGCACATACTACTGAGTACTCAGTAGATTCATTCTTTCAGAAAAGAGTTATTGAAAGAGCATTATGTGTCAGGCTTTGTACTAGCCACAGGGACTAAAGAGTGAACGAAACAAAAGTGTTTGCCTGCATTAGGTTAAATTCCAGTGCTGAGATAGGTGACAAATAAGTGAAAAAATAAAAAGATGTAAAGGCCGGGGTTGAGGTGGCTAAGGGCATGTGCAGCAGCAGAGGGCAGCAGTGACCACGGGCTAAGAAGCAGCTTGGAGCAGGAGATGGGGGCAGTGGCAGAGTTAGAAATAACTGGATTCGGAAGTGGCTTGAAGATGGAAATGACATGATATGCTGGTAGGGTCCTTTTAGCCCAAGTAACTAGAAGGATAAAATTGCTATTTATGGAAGTGGGGATGATTTTAGAAGGAATATATTCAAAGGTAAAGATAAGAAGTTTGAATGTTAGATATCCTGTTAAACACCTAGGTATAAATGTTAGTAGTTGTTACTTATTAATTATTGAATGCATATTAACTGTGTTTATCATCCATTATAAACACTTATTGGCTCTGTGGTAGACAGTGAATTATCAGTGCTGGGAATTACAATATATTAAAAATAGTGTTCTTGCTCTTAGGGAATTTATAGTCTAATGGGGAAGACAGGAATTGTCCAAACAACGATATTGTTGGTAGTTTTTTCCTTTAAGGAAAAATAACCTTTTAAGATGAGAAATAAAGGTAACTTAATAAAATTACAGATATCCCTTGAGCTCTAAATCTATTAGGTTTTCATTTTCCGATAGAAATATATGTGCATTGATGCTTCAAACTAAAATAAATTATTTCCCCCAGTAGACATATCTTGGAAGTTTCCTGTTTATTAATAGCTTATTCTTTTTTTGTTTAATTTGGGACAGGGTCTCACTGTGTAGCCCAAGCTGGCCTCAAACTCTTGGCCATCTTCCTGCCTCAGTGCCTCGATTGCTGGGAGTACAGGGGTGCACCCCCACGCCCAGCTTTATATGTTATTCTTAAGATGAGTTAAGTAACAGGATGGAATGGTGCTTCATGAATTTAGCTTCATTTAGCCGAATTAGGATTAGTTGCATATTAAACAGAGTTTTAAGCTATTATATATTACATGAAAGATTTAGACTGTTAGAAGTTTTCTGCTTTGTTTCTTTTTTTTTCTTTTCTCCTTTGTTTATTTTACTTAGGTAGTATACATTTATTTTTTATTAGGTACAGTAGTTTGAAGATCATTTGTTTTGCAACTAAAGTCTTAATAGTACCACTGTGATATGATCATTTATTCCAAATTAAAAGGATTAATTTTTGTGTTTTAACAAATCCACAGGTTCGTCACAAGGCATCACAGAATGTCTATGCTATGAAGCTGCTTAGTAAGTTTGAAATGATCAAAAGATCAGATGCTGCTTTTTTCTGGGAAGAAAGAGACATTATGGCCTTTGCCAATAGTCCCTGGGTGGTTGAGGTAAGCATACTAAATTTCAAACTTTACTTTCTTCTTTTATGAGTTCTTGTTCATAAGACTTGACTTTGTCAAAAATCCTGTGCGTCCGTCACTCAGTAATAATGCAGTTGTTGTTAATAAGATGTGATGCATCATACTTGTTTACTGTTGCTTCTATGCCTGCATAGACATAACATGGAACAGTTGCTTAAATTGGTATATGGAAGCAAGTATTGCTTGTAAGTTTTGCCTTTTTAGTTCCTTTATGTACAAAATTGACTTGATCACCAGAATTCCATTATCCTCTGCCCTCTACTGTGATTTACATCATTGGAAAATAGTAAATTAATTGAGTCATTTGGAAGAATAGTACATGTTAATGTTAGTCAGAAGTTGATGTTACATTGTCTGTCTTGAAGAGAAAAACTTTCATTTAAAGAAACTTTTATTAAGCCCAAAGAAGTTTTAATACATTATCGATACAAATAAGGAAATGTTCTTTAATGAATGTAATATATCAAAGATCTGATGGATTTTCTCCATATTAACACAATAAAAATAATCGATTCTAAAGAATCGATTTTTTGAGTAAAATTTTGAGAACTTCTGACGGTAGCCATTTTGGAAATTCTCCTACAGGCTTGTATATATTACCAGTAACGGTGGTGGGGAACTGATAGAAAGCGTTGCCTCAGGGGCTTTTGGCAGCATTAAAAGCTCTAAAAGTGTTGCCATCACTGACCTATGAAAACATTCATGCTCTTGCTGCTTCTTTGAGTGGATTAAGGAATTCATGATTCCCTTCTTACCTCCTTTTCCATTGTATTCCTCACCAGCTCTGCTTCTCTGGAGATTTTTAGTACTAGAATTTTTAAAGTACCAATTTAGATGGCTATGTCATCTGAAGATTGAGTCATAATTCCCCCCTGTCCTTTCTTGATTGTAGCTAGTGATGAGGAATTTTTGTGGCAAATTGTGTACCACAGTACTTACTTGATTAAAGAATGGTGATAGGATTGGGGATGTAGCTCAGCAGTACAGTGCTTGCTTGGCAAGTGTGACACCCTGAGTTCAAGTCCAGGAAATAATTTATTTTAGTTTGAAGCATCAATGCACATATATTTCTATTTTTTTTGTCTCAAAAAGCCAAAAAAAAATCGGTGATAATATTTTCCCTACTTTTTATTACCTTGCTTTCATAATAGAAGGTTTCATTGCCATTTCCAGTTAACCATTTTCTATACTGGAATCTTTTGATCTTTTAATTCTGCTAAGTAGACCCTCATAGAATTTTACATATATATATTTTTGAGACAGGGTCTTGCTATGCAGTTCAGGTTGGCCTTGAGCTCACTCTGTAGCCCAGGCTGGTCTTGAAGCAGTGATCCTCCTGCCTCAGGCTCTGAGTGCGCTACCACGCCTGTCTCCCTTATAGAATGTTAACAGATAAAGAAAAGATCTGCTGATTATTGAAATAATCTGAAGAAGTAGATCAGTGGTGAAAACATAGTACATTTGAAAAAATAACTCAGGATCCAAAGTCACACAAAAATCAGTATCTTTCCCATACACCAATAATGCTGCAGAAGAAATCAGGAAAATGATTCCATTCACAAGAGATTGGAAAAAAGACGCCAGGTGTAGTGGCGCATGCCTTTAATCCCAACACTTAGGAGACTGAGGCAGGAGGATCCTTGGGAGTTCAAGACCAGCCTGGGCTACAAGGTGAGCTTAAGGCCAGCCTGAACTGCATAGCAAGACCCTGTCTCAAAAAGATTAAAAAAAAAAAAGAGAGAGGGAGATTGAAAAAAAATACATAGGAATCCACCTGAACAAGAATGTGAAAGACCTCTGTGCTGAAGATGAGAGAATGCTGAAGAGAGATACTGAAGATGACCTTAGGAAGTAGAAAGACCTCCCTTGTTAATGGGTTGTTAAAATGGCCATATTTAAAAAGTGATTTACAGATTCCATATAGTTCCTATTAAAATGCTAACAACATTCACAGAACTAGAAAAAAACATGCAAAGATTCATATGAAATCAGGAAAGACTGAAATAGCCAAAGCAGTCCCTGAGCAAAAGGAGCAGCACTAGAGGCATCACAGGACCCTACACTGTAAAGCCACAGAGACAGAACAATTTGCTACAGCACAGACAAGAGACCAGTGAAGTAAAACAAAAGACACAGAAACAAGCCAAGCATCTACAGCCAGCTGAGTGTTGACAGAGGGACAAAAGACCTGTGCTAGAGAAAAAAAACCTGTTTAACAAATGGTGCTGGGAAGGCTGGATATCCACTTGTAGAGGATTTTACTAGCTGCTTCTCTCTTTCCCTGTACTAAAGTCAAATCAAGATGGATCAGACTGTCATGGCTTATGTCTAGTTGTCAAAGCCTCATGCACTCATAAGTGGGGATTTTCAGAGGTGGCTGGATCTAGGGTGTGTGGTGCCTAGGGTTAAGGATATGTGATTACTAAATCAGTTCACTGATTGATTTGGCATAGTTCTGGGTGTGGGGAATGGGAAGGCCCAGCCTGGGTGTGAGTGACACCGCCCTAAGTAGCCTGGAAGGGATAAAAGGGAGAAGGAGTCTGCTCCTGCTGCTGCTTCTTCGCTACTTTGCTGCCTTCTGCCCACTATGAACTGCTTCTCCTCTGCTCTGCCTCTCCGCCATGCCACCCTGTCTTGGAGCCAGCTGGTGATGGAATGAAACCTCTGCAAACTGTGAGCTGAATAAACCTTTCCTTCTTTAACACTTCCCAAAAAACCCAGATAGCCCAGTCAATGAATAGCAGGCGAGAATTCTACCACTGGACCACCACTGCCTAGTCAGTAAATGGACAAATGAATTGAACAGGGAGTTCTCAAAAGAAATATAAATACCCAAGAATATATGAAAAAAAAGTTCAACATCTATCTTTGTCAATTTTTCATTTCTGGGACAAAATACCTGACACCTGTAAGTTAAAGGAAGAAAGATTTATTTTGACTCACAGTTTGTAGAGCTTTCAGTCCGTCATCAGCTGGCTCCAAGGCAGTGGGGCTTGGCAGAGAAGAAACAGTCCATGGTGTGGTAGGCAGGAAGCAGAGCAGCAATCAAGGGAGTAGGAAGGATGTGTATATCTACTCTGCCAGGCCACGCCACAGGGACCACCTTTTACCACCAGGCTTCACCTGCCAACATCACACGCGGCTGTAAACCATCAGTGTGTAATCCAGCATCACACACCATGATCCAGCCACCTCCACAAAACCCACCTATGAGTGCATGACATCTTTCATTGCTCAGGTGTGTGCCCCTAAACAAGTTAGTTTAGTTAAGTCATTTAAAAATTTTAAGTTCACATATTCCTTTTTTTTCCAGGTACATCTTTTTAAGTCTCTCTACCTGAGGCGTCCTCTTCCATTTTCTTTTGTTCCCAGGTTGAGGAAACCTGCAGTTTGTTGATCTTGTCCTTGTAATGCAGTTTAACATATTTCTCTCTCATTTATGTTTAGTAAAATGTGAGTAGATGTAAAGCCTTTATCAGATTCAAGTTTGACTGGGAGGGGTTATGGGTTTCCTAGGCAGTGTTTTTCTTCTATCAGAAACTGATGTCTGATACTTGTTTTGTTACCAGTTGTTGGTGCTCAAGGTCTTGGTCCATTAATTTATAAATGGTGATATTCCAATTTAATCATTCCTCCTTGATTATAGTGACTGGAATATTTCTTTCTATCTTTGTGTGTGTTTATTTTGTTGTGTTTTGCTTATGAGACAGGATTTCACCATGTAGTTCAGGCTTGCCTTGAACTCATTGTATACCCATAGCCTGGCCTGGAACTCTCATATCCTCCTGCCTCAACCTCCCAAGTGCTAGGATTACTGGTGTGCACCACCATGCCCAGCTGGAATATTTCTATAAAGATAAATAATTCTGTTTACTAACTGATTACCCAGTGCTATATTCACATAAGAAGGGCAGGATGAATGCTTTATTTTTTTCCTCATACTGTATTTGCCAGCTTTCAGAATAGTTTCCTTTTATTTTTTAAGGATCACTAGTTTAGTTGGAGAGGGGTATCAGTTTTGTATGGATACACTTAAAAAACCTACTTGATATGTTTAGTCCTTGAAACACCTTCTTGATGTTTATAACGTGACACCTTTGGTAATGGGATTCTATTCAGATTGACTTTGACCTTTTGACTTACCCTTGGGAGTAGTGATAGCTTGCTTGCTAGCTGATGTAACAGGGTGTTTCATACCTGCCCTATGTGATTTCTGTGCTTGGAATGCGATTAACTGTCATATAAGTAAGCATTTCTTCAGAATAGATTCTTAGCATTGGATTTCCTAGGTCACATGATAGGTACATTGACATTTTGATTAAAATACCAAATTGCTTTGTTTTTTAAAAGTTTTTACTGTACAAGTTTACAGTATCTCTGTGCAGTGTTTCTTTTTATTAGTACATGTTTGCAGTATCTAATGAATACATTCATTGTGGGGAGTAGTACAAGTATATGTCGCTTCTTAATAGCAGATGTTTTCTTTTACATTTTTAGCAAATATTGAATATTGTTTTATTTTGAATTTTTATTAGGTGCATGCTTGAGAAATAAAATATTATTATGGTATTTCCTTGATTACTTACAAAATTCTGCACATTTCATATCCTTAGAAGAAGTAATTCCTCCTTTGATATAGATTATCAAGCTTAGAATTTCTAATGGACATTTAATTCATTTGTTAATGCTAATAGATTTTGGATATTAATCCTTTGTTATATATGTTGGAAATATAGTCATTTGAGTATTGAGTGTTGCTTATTGAAGTTCTAACGTTTAGTTATTGTCAAATCTATAACTTCTCTATTTTGATTCTTGATGAGAAATACCTTCGCTATGCTGAAGATTATAAAAATGTTCTCTTACGCTTTTTTTCTTTTTTTTTCTGGTACCAGGAATGGAACTTTGGACCTTGTACTTGCCAGGCAGGCACTTATGCCACTGAGCTATATCCCCAGCCCAATCCT